TAAGAAAGACGAGTGGGACCAAAGCGCAGGCGGAAGCTTTGACTCAAGCTGTGATACCCCGTTCGCTTATCAGGGAAAGGGGAATTTCTTGCCTTTTGGCTTTTTTCTCTGTGAAATTGAATGCATGGTCCTTAAAGAAAAGGTTCAAGCATTATTTTCTTTTTAATCCTCTGTGGCAGAGAGTAGTATCATGCATATAGGAAACATTCAGTAAATATTGGTTAAAAAGAAAAAAAAAAGCTAAAATTCTACACAAAGCCCCGCCTCATAACTACAAATAATAAAACTGCTAATTATGTCTCAATGAGTTCCTTGAGCAGCCTGGTTTTCCACGTAAATGGGGTGTTGTGTTAAGTGAAGATTCACCAATACTGGGCCGCCAAAGCTTTGATATTCTGGCAATTATCTCAGAGTAGTGACATCAGGCAGAATGTTTTAGGACAGGTGATTCGGTTTATTTTAGGAGCTTCTACCACTTAACAAGGGGGCACTCACAAGGTATTCACTATTTCAATTATCAGACTGATAGTGAAAAGCTGAGACACCACCTGAACTGACCAAGATGAGGAGACTCTTCTGGAAGAGCAACAGAACACAGACAAGTGTTTTCCAGTTACAGATAGGGCAATGAAAACAATTCACCGATGCCCAGCTATTAAAAAAAAAAAGGAAATAACGGATTAAAACAAGAAAACAAATGACAGAATCACATTAGTTAAGGTAAGAATTGTTTCATTATTTTTTCATATACATAAAAATTTATTTTTTTACTGTGGCTGGTGCAGTGAAAAAAGTTTGAAAGTTACTGACACTATGATGCAGAAGAAATCTATAAAGCAACTGATTCTATATAAAATTATACAGCTGCGAATCAAAAGACTGTCTTCCATGCATACAAAAGCAAAAGATGTCCAGTTACACATATTCTCTTATACAAGAACACCTCAGAGCTACTAAGGGTTCAGTTCCAGACCACCGCAAAGCAGTGTCTCAACAGAGCAAGTTGTAGCTTTTTTGCTGGCAGAAGGTCTTGCCTTAAATTTGTAAAAAAAAAAAGGCAAAATCCGTGAAGCACAATAAAACAAAGCGCAATAAAACAAGGTATACCTGTATTATTTAAGAGCACTAACCTACCTGATTATACAAATACACACATTATAAACCCTGAGAGAGAGCTCAGCTTTTCATGATTCAATTTTCCCTCTAAAGTACTTAGATTTCAACATCCTGGCCCTTCCTAACATCAACTATGCATTCCAACATCTAAATTACTTTTTTCAAATACTCCCAAATCACTCATCAGAAGAAAAAGATCCCTGAAGTAGAGGTAAAAACATTAAGTTACAAGCATGGACAAGCTTTCCCTCCTTATCTGCTAAATAATACTCTATTTAATTAGCTCCACTTTGCTCATTGTTTTTAAAGTTTCATTAACTATGAAATCTGCCGTCCACCAAACAATCCCACCACACTACATCATAAACACTGAATATACATTACATCCACAGATCTAAACTGATGTTCTCAAAATGTGGTCCCCAGATCCGTTTTGAAAGGGTCTGTGAGGTCAGAACTATTTTCAACACTAAGGTTATCATTTGCCTGTTCACTCTGTGGACATTTGCACTGAGGGCGAAAAGCAATTTTAAGTCCCCTGAAGCCTTAGTAAGAATCGAAGCAGTGGAACTAGCGTGTACCAGCAGTCACTACATCCTCCAACGCTAAGCACTAACAGTAAAGGCTATGGGGAGGGCAGAATAATGTAATAAAAACCCGGATTTTACTAGTAGAAAAGAATCCAAGCTTTCAGAGACTAATTCTGAGCCTGCCCTTCTGTTTCAGTTTGGCACAAACCCCTTAGTAAAACCAGATACGTGAAGAACCAGCAGAATTCCGAAGAATACCGACAATTGGGAGTGGGTATAAGGGGCAGTAGGAAAACTGCGAGAGAATAAGGGGCAGCTGGGAAAATTTTTTTGCCAATTCTTGGGTTTCCCTGCAATTCCCCCCACTTCCTCCCTAAGGCTCCCGACTGAGGTGTCAAGGGGGTGGGTGGGCCTGGAGGGGCCGCTCCGGGGCTCTCGCTAAGCCCCAGCCCCGCCCGCATCCTCTCAGGGCGGGTCCCCTCACCCCCAGGCCCTTCCCCCACATACACACACTCAACTCCTCGGTCGCCAACGCCCCCACGACCTCCAGGAGCCTCACCACTAGAAGGTTCCTGTCCTCCACCAGCTGCCGCTTCCGGAGGATCTCCGATTTCAGAATGTCCATCTCGCTGCCCGGGCTTAAGCTGAATTTCCCTCTCCGGCTCCTCGGACCAGGTCTCGCCCCACCAGGAGAGCCGAACCTGCCGAGAACCCACCACAAACTGCGAACCCAAATACTGGAGAACAACACTGACGGGGCCACTTCCGGCGGAAATTGAGGTGAGCGAGAGGAAAGAAGAGAGCGCCCCAGGGCGCCTGTTGACGGAGCCGCTGTGGATTAGCGCCCCCTGGCGGCGCCCTCCGGCAGCGCGCCTGTCGTTTACCACAGATACAGATGAATGTGGACTGAAACACGAGTCTCTCTGGATCGTGTGGAGGTCCACGTGCTTCATTTTTAATGATACACCTGCTTGTACCTTCTAGTTCAGGTCCAAAAGCCTCCTCGCAGAACACCTCGAGTATGTTAAGTGAGGCCAGATCCTTACTTATACCAGAAATGCACATCAGAGTTTCTGAAGTTACCTGCTTGCCAACATAAATGTACAAGAGTGAGAAAAATATGAACAGAACTACTCTAATATAGAGTGAAAGTTCATTGCTAGCCTGTTCAGTTACCTTTAAAGTTAAGCAACTACATCTATGTAAGTGTTTTCAGAAGTAAATATGTCTTTCTTCCCTCAGTTCTAGATTGCTTCTATATCCTATGATAATTGAACATTTACCCAACCTGAAATAATCTTTTTAGTCATATGTTCAGTGATCAAGATTTTTGGTGGCATGATTGGAGATGTATTCAGAAATTTTTTTTTTTTTTGGTCCAACTCAAGAAGAAAAATTAAATTGGGAAGAAAAAATTATATCATAGATTTTAATTTTTGAAAGACGCTATAAACTGTTTACAATGCCATTGACACTTTAAAAAAATGCTACTTAAGTCGTCGCTGAACAATAGTTGACATGTTAGTTGTTCCCACTCAAAAGGAAAATAATATCATTTAGTTCAGTCAATTGATAACGGGTAAAATGGTTTATCAAAATAAAAGATAACAGAAAATTTTTGACCTCAATTTAAGAAGTCTTTTTATTGTACACATGTGTATCTGTTGCATCTAAAAGATATCTGACTTTTGCCAGAAATAAATCAACATAGGAAGTTAATTTATTCTCTGATTTAAAATGCTTTACTAATTTTTAGGGCTTTTAAGAGCTTAAGATATTTTACAAAGAAAATGTCCTGGAACTAATAAATATGGTAACATTCTTACATGGATGTCTATTTTCTGAGTCACTTATAATTCAATAAGTAAACAATAATTTATTAGGATTTTCCTGTTTTAGGGATTAGAGATTATGGCACGAAACCCTGAAGGGTTGACATAAAGGGTAGTTAACAGTAAGGAAAGTTCACAAAGAATGCAAAGGAACAGTTGGCCAGATGGGAGAAAATTAGTGTGAACCAGAGGAGATACTAGCTACTAAGCAGGCTCCTTTTTAAATTTTATTGATTCTGATGTTTATGTAAACATGTGCATAAAAGCTTGATTAAGGCCTGAGACGGAAGAATGAGAGGAGTATTTGAACAAGCAAACTGATAAGTAAGCTTTTCAAAATAGAAGAGGGAAGAAAGATGACCAGGAGAGTTTAGAAACACTGAAGAGAACCAATCAATCCTGACTCTAAAGGAGAATGTATTTATTTTTGAAATGTGCATCCCATTCCACCACAATAGAATTTAAAAAGTAAAGTATTGGATTCAACCCAAATGTCCTAAATGACAGAATGGTTAAATAGTTTATAGTTCATATATACAACTGAATAATATGGAACATTAAAAATCATTTTTCAAAAAAATATTCAATGATATGAGAGTGCTCATGATATAATATTTAGTTAAAAAGTAGAATTAATGAAACTGGAAATATATCATATAGTCCTCATTTGGTAAGAAAAGAAACTAAAACTAGAAAAATGATTTTAAAAGAACAAAGTATCAGATTATCTGGTGATTCTTTTTTTCTTTATCCCATAATTTGGTACAAATTCCATAATTCGGAAAAATATCCAGATAGCAGCCATTTGGTTCTATTTCATTATTATTAAAAGTCTGTATACATTTTTCAAGTGTAACCACTTTAGAAATTATGTATCATGATATAATATTTAGTTAAAAAGTAGAATTAATCATATCAACAAAATATTAAACATAGAAGAATTTTTTTTAAATCTTTGTAATTATTCCATGAGCTCTGTACCACCCTAGGTTCTGTGGCCTAAACCAAATATAAAATATAATCATACTCCTGAGAAACTTACCAGCTAACTTGGCAATCAAGAAACAGAGTCTGAAAGGGTAAATTAGGTAAAATAAATATGATTTAAGACCATATGGGGGGAGACTATAATAAAGTATTCACAGAAATTAAAGATCAGTCTTTTCTAAAAGAAGAAATAGTAAAAAAAATCGATATATAGTTGATGAGATTATTCCTCTACTGGAGTAACTCATCCTAAGAGATTGTATTTTTGGAGACTGGAGGAAAATACCAGATTTAATCAGATGTCCTAAAGGGTAGATGTAACTTTTTTTTTTTTAAGCTATGTAACCTAAAACAGTGGCCCTCAATCTTCAGAGCAACCTGGAGGACTTTTTGAAACCCAGCCTGCCAGTCCCATCCCTAGAACATCTCGTTCTGGAGGTTTGGGGTGAGGCCCAGAGATCTGCTTTTCCAACAAGTTCCCAGGTGAGGCGGCTGCTGTTGATCCAGTGGGTGAGTCAGAAATTCGGTCTGCAGGGAGTCTTGATAAACAAGAGCGGAGGAGGAGGCACGTGTCTGCAGCATTGTCATGGGCGCCTCTCAGGGTGCCCACCCACTCGCTGTGATGCTTCTGGAAATTTCCTAATGGAAGAAGGCAGGCTCCCTTTGGATCCAGCTGCCTTCACATGCCTGCTTTGTGTGGCTACGGTGCCGGCAGGTACTTGACCCATTTGGGCCAATTAGAGTCTGTTCCTTAGGAAATTGACAATGGAATTGAGTAATGTTCCGAAGATGCAGGAAATATAAAATATGAATTCGAGAGTGGTAGACAGCTGTGTCAGTGGCATGCTGGAGCCAGACCAGTCCCCACTGAACTGCAAGAGTCCACTGCTAAATTTTTAAGAATTGTGTGAGTCAGCTGTTAAGCAAAGTCGTTATTAAAGTTGAATGTTTATTTACAATTAAACACATTACATTGTTAACAAAGGTTATAAATACACGGAACCTGTTACTTCTAATTATATTACCACATTTTACTTTTATTTATGCTGTTGGAATTAGCTATGACTATCGCATATTTGTGTGGAAATACTATATAATGTGGCTACTGTGTATCTTCTCTCGGCCCTACACTTGAGGATGCCATATTGGCAGCTTGAAATGAGCCATGGGGGAAGTATTTGCACCACAGAAACTGACAAATGCTAAAATTCTGGACTTGCTTTGTTCTTTTGTTGATTGTCTAAACAGAAAGAAATGAGAAATGGAGAAAATGTTAACACAGATTGGGGCTTCTCAACCTTGAGCCAGATAATTCTTTTTTGGGGAGGGGGATGTCCTTGACGCTACCCATAAAATGCCAGTAACACCCCTTCTACAGCATGACAACCAAAAATGTCTCTGGAAATTGCCAGATGTCCCCTGAGGAGAAAAATCTCTCTCCATTTAAAAACCACTGATTAAATGTAAAAACGTCGTGTCTATAGCTGTTACATAGTAAAGAGGACAAAGATATGAGAAGATATTCTTCCAGGATTGGAAAACTATTACCTCAGTTAGTAAAGATGGCTCTCACATCATTGACAAACGAGGAAAGTTTGGACATGCATCTTTGTTGTTTCGCTTTTGTCTTATTACTTTATGCTAAAACATCTATCACCACTCATGTCAGAGCCAGACTCGTTCATCAGTCATAACCACAGGTTGGCTAAGGATATAAGTTTGGCAAAAATCAGTTGAAACATTCTGTGAGAATCAATTGGCTATATGGAATTTACAATAAAGATATTGGAGAGTTCATTGTTATTTATAAATTGTGTCCTCCATATCCTTTATTTCAGTAAAAATTATATGAATATCTGAGCATTCTTCTTTTCCTCCAGAGAGCCAATTTTTAAATATTCACCAGCATAGCACTGGACATTTTTCACCTCCTGTGTGGGCTTTCCTAAACTGTTTAGTAAAGCAAGTTGGAATATCAAAAATAAAAATTAAAACAAAAAAATGTAAATGATTAATTTGTTTTAAAATAACAATAATAAACACATTACATATTAATTCAAATAATACATTTTTGTGAAAATTGCTGTTTTCCAAAAATTTAGGCAGAAGAGTGGCGTGCTTTTATATTATTGCAGCTTCTTTAATGTCTAGTCTAAGTAAAAGAGATCTGGATTCTCACATCTGCTCCTGCATTCAATCTGTTGTAGTAAGTTATTTTGTTTGAAGAATATGAAGAAAATCTAGCTTCACAACTGTGTAGTTGGAAACGAAAAGAGTATCTTAATCAAACAACTGTGGACAGGCTTCTTTGCTACTGTACCCACAAGCGGTAGTTTTCTAAAAGTTAGTTTTAGTGTGGAATCTAAAACCATATTGAGAAAAATTTCACACCGTTACATTAAAAAAAATCCATTGGTCTACCTTAAACTTTGAATGGCTCTTTTACTCATGCATAATTTTGTAACATCATGCATTGGTCATTTGGAAAATATTACTTCGCCGATTAATGCAGATCTTCCAAATGTTAACACTTTATTATGAAATATTTTAAAAATCACATTCATTAATATCACCCCTCCATCTCACTAGAAAAGCCTTTTAATTATTGGGAAGATATTGAATTCATGGTGCCAAATATAATTTGCTAATTGTAAAATGATAATTTTTACTGAAAGCTCCTATTTTATCACTAGCAACAAATAGAGTCAGTTGTTTTCTCCAAGTGACAGGCTCACTTTGTTCAGTAGCAAGCACGCATTTGCCAAATACTCAAGTCTGAATGACCATAATTTTTCTATTGGTTATTCTTTAGGTAAAAGTAGTGTCTCATGAAAAAAAGAGCTCGTTCAGCTTGCAAATTGAACAATCACACAGAGCTTTTCCTGAAACCAAGCATCACGCTTCAGTATGCAGCCCAAGTGGTTCACGTGTACTTCCTGTTTCATCCCTGGGA